GCTAACGTCATGTTTTTTACTGAAAGATATTTGAACCAGCATAGAGTTTGGCTGACAGTCCATTCTTCAATGGGTGGGATACACTGGGAGAGGCAGCTTTTGAAAATTATGTTCCCTCCAGCTCTTTAGAGTTTGCGCATGGGGGTCTGTTGTTGATGATGAGTTGTATTGAAATTCTGACAGATAGACACCTCATCACTGACTTGTCATATTCTCTGGGCTGGTGGCTTCTGTCTCATCTGACAATGCAGCAGCTGGACCAGTGGGATGTCTTATACTAAAAGCACAGATTTCCGCAGGCTGAGGAAAATGAAAGGTTCTGTATTTGCGGATGCTACGACTCACGTTCTTAGTGGATCTTGTACAGAGTGAAATTTGTGCTAAACTTGGCCAAGGGTTGCATACACATCTCACCAAGTAATTTATGGCTCCTTGAGATGCCTTCCTTTTCTCATAGACCTAGTGTTATTTTATCTTGAGGCCTATCAAGAAAAACCATAACTATGTCATATCCTTGGAGATCAGTCTTTCTGGGCAATCCACAGATTTATTCAGATTCTCCTACATCTTGTAGATCCTATCTTATGCCAGAGCATACTGACACTGAGGCTCATCTTGACATTTGATAGAGTCCTGGACTCACTTAGGTATCACTTTCAGACTTTCAGCCTGCAGAACCAGGGACCACAGTACAATTACCAAAAGTAGGACAATTTCCAGCTTTGGAGATCTGTTGTCTTCAGAATTTATGGTTGGGATCTACTAGTCTTGAGATATAGCTGAGCCAATTATGTTTCTGCTCTTAAAAAAGGGTTACAGTTGTGTAGCAGAATGAGCTTTTAGGGCTTTTTTTGTCTCCTTGAGGTTGGCAGAGCCCTCAGTGGTCCTCGGTGGCAGTTTGGACACAGATATGAAGGAATCTGGGTAAGAAAGTGGTTTTTTATGGGAACGCATCTGCCACTGCTGCTGACTTCATGATGCACTGTTTGTGGTTGTTTTCATCTATTCAGAAATGCCTGCCGCTTGAGAATATCTGCTGTTGATCTTTCCTGCTCCCCGAAAACAGAAGTGACTTGCAGACTGTCATTAATTTTGGTTCCTGAGAACACTGCGCTGACCTCTCCCGCTTCCAAATGCTCAGCAGCCGTTCTCTTTAAATTGTGCCTGAACGAAGGAATTTGAAAGACGGTATAAAAATATGTTAAAAGTCTCCAATCATCTCTGTAAATACGTCTAGACTGTGGTCTCCAGCGGAGTGGAAAGACACTTGAGATTGGTAGAAACGTATTAGCTCAGGTGCTTCACATATCTGGAGCAATCTAACTGTGGCACTGGAGCTCAGTCGGTGTCTTGAGATGTGCTCATTTTCAGGATGTCGTGTTTTACTGCTTTTCATTTGAATGAGCCTATTTAGAATCAGGTTGGGTATCGCTGTGCTCTGCTGCATTTTGAAGTGCATGCCGACCTGCAAAGCACAGCTGACTGTGACCTGCTGAGACTGGCTCCCAGCATTCCCCGAAACGACTGTAATCCCCGAAACATGTCAGGATTCAGACCTTTTGGGTCTTAAAAAACTTAATCGGCAAAGGTTACCTGCAGAGAAGACACAGTCCTCTGAGAATTAGTCATGGGGTTCGGTGTAGAAAGGACTGTCATATTTTGACTGCTTTATGACCCATGTATTAGGGATTTTTTTGGTTTTTTTTTACTTCATCTTGCCCCGAGCACAAAGCAGGGTGATGAGACCACCTTCCCCTCCTGCCATCCTCCCCACCCCATCCAGGTGGGAGGTAGGAAGAAAGAAGGAACCTCATGTTTGTGATGCTGTGGGAGGTCCTGCTACGCAGTGACCCCAGTTGTGGGAGGGAAGGTGCGGGAGCAGCTCTGCAGCACAGTAGCTCATTTGCAATGCGCTGCGACAACATGTCCCTTTCTATATTTCACTCTCCTCTTTTTTTTTTTTCCAATCTGCTTGCCCTGTGAGGCTGCGGCCGTCACCGCTTGCAGACCTCGCATCAGGGCATCAGCCTGCGTTTTGTCATTTGGTGCAGGGTGGCACCTCCAGGCCACGGCACGGCCATGCCAGCCTGCTCAGCCACCTCTCATGCTTGTGTTTGGTCAGAGAATAGTCGTATTTTTGACACCAGCGCATCGCAGTTGCAAGGGATCCTGCAAAGAGACACGTTAAAAATGCAGCAAGGATCTTGGGTAGCAAAAGGCAGTATTTGTTACTCCTAAAGCGACTCTGTGTGTCTCTCCCCTCTTCATGGCCAAGATGTCCCTGGTTCTGGAGCTAGGGTACATGTGTGGAGTGTTGTGCTGGGGGGTGGCGGACAGAGAGCTTCCCTCGGCGAAGTCCAGACTCTCTGAATCACTCCATTACTTCCTGACTGTCAGAAATGTGCTTAACTAATTTGGTTTCATTCATTTTTCATTACCGCAGATCCCACTCTCATCCCCTCATGAGTCTGATGACAGCAGGAAGAATTTAGTCGATGAGGATCACTGCCATCAGGGCGGTGTCCTTGGCTTTTCAAATGGAAAATAGTTATGGCAGTCAACGGGAGCCCTTTGCTTTCGGGGCTAAGCCGTTGCCTGCACCCCCAGGTGGCTGGTTTCTCTGAAAACCCTTTGCTTTGGTGTGGGGACTGCGTGCAGCGTCTAACGGGAACCTCCCAGTGCCTGGCAGTGGGAGCAGGGCTTGGCATCGTGCTCCCGCTGACACTACGCTGCAGTCTGCTTTGGTGGCCACAGTCGGGCTTTTCTGCCAGCCTGA